GCACAGTACTGGCTCCCATCTTATTCCTTATCCTCATATCAGACATAGACAGAGATATACATCACAGCACCGAACAGAGTATACTACAGACTCAGGCCATACAATAGAGCGGAAAAATAATGTAAGGGACCTGGGAGTAGTAATGTCTGAGGATCTCACTTTCAAGGATCACAACAGTGCCACGATCGCACGTGCAAAGAAAATGATAGGATGGATAATGAGAACGTTCAAAACAAGAGATGCCAAGCCAATGATGATCCTTCTCAAATCACTTGTTCTCTCTAGGCTGGAATACTGCTGTACATTAACATCTCCATTCAAAGCAGGTGAAATCGAAGATCTAGAGAGTGTACAGAGATCCTTTACTGCACGTATAAGTTCTGTCAAGAACCTTAACTTCTGGGAACGCTTGGAAGCACTTGACTTGTACTCGTTGGAAGGCAGGAGGGAGAGATATATCATAATCTACACTTGGAAAATCTTGGAAGGAATGGTCCCAAATCTGCACACAGAAATCACTCCCTACGAAAGTAAAAGACTGGGCAGGCGATGCAAAATGCCCCCAATAAAAAGTAGGGGCGCCATTGGTACACAAAGGGAAAACACCATAAGTGTCCGGGGCCCAAGACTGTTCAACAGCCTCCCATCAAGCATTAGGGGAATTGCCAAAAAAACCCTGGGTGCCTTCAAGAGAGAGCTGGACAGATACCTAAAGTCAGTGCCGGATCAGCCGGGCTGTGGCTCGTACGTTGGACTGCGTGCGGCCAGCAGTAACAGCCTAGTTGATCAGGCCCTGATCCATCGGGAGGCCTGGTCGTGGGCCGGGCCGCGGGGGCGTTGATCCCCGGAATAACCTCCAGGTAACCTCCCTCATTCCTTCACTTGATCTGTCTTCTTTTTCATTGTCCCTTCACTAGACCTCTCTTCTCACTTTCTTCTCACCTCTTCTCTAGACCTGTCTTCAAATTTTCTCCTCGCCTCCTCACTTGACCTCTCCTCTGACTTTCTCCTCACTTCTGCACTTGACATGTCTTTTGACTTCCTCTTCACTTCACCTGTGCTCTGACTTCCTCCTCACTTCCATGCTTAACCTGTCCTTTGACTTTCTCCTCACCTCTTTATTTGACCTGTCTTGTGACTTCGTCTCTCAGTCGTGACATGATAAATGGTCCAGTATCGACCAAAACGTCATTTAACTTTCGAAAGAGGAAATCTCTGTATATTTCTATGTTTATGTAACTGCATCGCACTGTATTGTATAGCGCTGTATCATACTGTATTGTACTGTATTGTAATTTCATAAAATATCATTCAATCTATTACTTGTCAATTACATTTGTTTTTCAATTTTGAATGAATAATCTCGTAGCATGTATTTCAGCTATTGTTTTCAAATGCCTGTCAACACCTTGTTCTAGCGTTAAAATGGTATAAAATACCGACAGGTTGTTAGGTAAGACACATATGCAACAGTTAGGTATCTTTATTATGAAACGTTTCGCCTACACAGTAGGCTTCTTCAGTCAAGTACAGAAAAGTTGATAGAAGCAGAAGATACTTGAAGACGATGTAATCAGTCCATCACCCTTAAAGTTTTGAGGTGGTCAGTCCCTCAGTCTGGGGAAGAGCATTGTTCCATAGTATGAAACAATATGGAGAAGTGACAGGATGGAGCTTTTTATAGCGCCAAGAGGTGAGACGTAGGCCACTAGGAGAGGTAAGAACTCAGATGTTGAGAGGTCAGGTCCCTCTCAAATCCAGCCCCTCTCATTTGAGAGGGACCTGACCTCCCAACATCTGCGTTCTTACTTCTACTAGTGACCTACGTCTCACCTCCTGGCGCTATATAAGGCTCCATCCTGTCACTTCATACTATGGAACAATGCTCTTCTCCAGACTGAGGGACTGACCACCTCAAAACTTTAAGGGTGATGGACTGATTACATCGTCTTCAAGTATCTTCTGCTTCTATCAACTTTTCTGTACTTGACTGAAGAAGCCTACTGTGTAGGCGAAACGTTTCATAATAAAGATACCTAACTGTTGCATATGTGTCTTACCTAACAACCTTGTTCTAGCCCCATTATTCAAAAAATATGTAGTTTAAACATTAAGTAGAAAAAGGCTTAGTCTAAGTTAGCAAGAAATGAAGTGAATACTATAAACTTTCAAATTAGTGTAAATTTTTGTATAATGATTTAAAATAAAAGATAATAATGATAATAATAATAATAATAATAATAATAATAATAATAATAATAATAATAATACAATAATGAAATATAATAATAATAATAATACAATATAATAATGAAATATAATAATAATAAATTATTATTATTATTATTACTATTATTATATAAGTAAATACCTACCTGGGTGTTAATTAAGCGTTTTCGGTGGTTTTCTGGGGAAAAATTCATGTGCAAATAATACTGGTTGTGACAAGTGTCCACCAGGAGCACGATGTTTGGTGGTGTACTTACAAGTTACTCAGCTTGGTGATAATCAGTCTTACAAGTTACTCAGCTTGGTGATAATCAGTCTTACAAGTTACTCAGCTTGGTGATAATCAGTCTTACAAGTTACTCAGCTTGGAGATAA